GCAATCCCAGCCAGTTTCCCACGAGCGAAAGTGATTGTTTCAAGGGCTGGGATTGACCATTTGCATGGCAGTCGTGAATGTCGAGTTTGGCCACCATCGTTGCCAGCGGATTAGATATGTCCTCCTCACTCGAAAAAGTCATGGCTGATATTATTGGTACAATGCTCCTCGTTCGACATTTTGGTGCGGCCCGCTGCCGCGTGAGAGCCAAGCTTGGCAGTAGAAGCCCCAGTGGGGGATGAGTGCCGATACCGCCGCTGACGAAATGGCTGCTGCCGAGTTAGTTGGTGATAGGTAGACCGATCTCTGTACAACGTGACGTCCATTCTTGTATCCACCAACATCAGCACCAACGGCTATTGTGCTGATGCTGTCTGTACATGGTGAACTCCAAGAATGCTTTTGCGATATGGGCTGAGGTCGTGGATACAATGCGGTGGCTCATCGTTGGCCGCTACGTACACCTACAACAGGACGGTGGACCCAAACTCGTTTCTGACACGGCATCTGGCCGTGCCAAAATGACGACCGAGGAGCATACTAGCGACGATATCAAACAAGACTCTTCGCGCCGAGTTGGGAGGATAGAGTCAAGCCAAACGCGACCAGGGTACTTGGTGCTACGACAAGTGTGGATGCTTGGTGGATCCATATTACCATCACCGATGTTCCATGTTGTTGTTAAGGAATACCCATTGCGTCAACGTGTTGCCGCCAACTCGCGTGTCGTCCGCACACAGCATGACAAGCGCCATGGTGGCGACGTCCTACAAAACTTGGTTGGTCTCGGGCTGCAACACCACGCTCACCTACACAAATGCAACTACTGCGGCAGGGGTGATGAGGATCGATGTGGTCCATCGAGAATCGCATGTCTACTTGGACGCGGTTAAGACAACGCCTCCGTCCACCCGAACTACTTGCATGTTCTTAACCTTGAGCAGCGGCGCAGCCTTGGTTGCAGTCTGCGTCAGCCGACAGATGATCTCTGTCTCGGGCATGCCTTGGATCCATGCCGCCACGAGTTGCTCTTCTCGTCCGTCCAGGGCCTTCTCGTCGGCCAGTTCCGACGCCGTGGCCACGCCTTTGCAGCGGGCAACACACCAAACTTGGATATTGGATTCGCGATTCTGCCCGGAGCTGGCCCAAACACACATGAAACGAATGGTAAAGCACGAATCGATTAGGCACGTCTGGTTAGATCGGCGTTGTCATGAACGTCGTAACGCGAGGAGGACGTGCTTGGCGATGGAAGGATACCGGGGCTATCGTGAACAACTGCCTTGACGTTTAATGAAGGTGGTTCAGAGCGACAAGTACCTCTGCATGCCATGATCCCGAATCATGACGATTTCCCCGTTGCCTGAGGAGTCAAAGCACAAACGATTGTCAAACGTGAGAGCCAGCATCCACAATACGTATCACTCGATGTCGCAGATGACGTACCGGCGACTATTGGTCCTTCAGCATCGCGTACAATCGCCCAGCGACGCGTTTGACATCAGGCCGAGGGTCCTCCAGGCGAATCGAGTCGTCAAAGCGCTCGATGGCGTCGTCTGTGCGCTTGAGGAAGTGCCACGACTCGAAGCTCGTCACCACGCCGTACACGCGCTCGTGGTTGTTCGTGTCCGCCGCAGCCTCCATGGCCAGGACAGCATGCGCTGTCCCTTTGCCAAAGTCGTAGTTCTTGGCTTCCATAATACAGACCGTTTTCGTGCCCCGGGTGATTCGGAAATCCACGACACCGTTCGCTTTGACAAAAGACCCCCCGAGCTCGGACTGGACAAACAGCCGAACGCGCTCGGCATCCGTCTTGTCCTTGAACATGCATACGACATGCTCGAAGATGGCACTCAAGAACTGGACGCGCGTCTCCTCGTTCGCATTCA